AAACAATTGGGACTGACACCAAAGATTCCCTTCGCTTCACAAATAAGGTGTGATCGGATTGAGTCTGAGTGTAGCCAAAAGCAATCAAGGCCTTTCTGAATCTGTCAAACCATGCTCTGGGAGATTGTTTCAAGCCATAAAGTGACTTCTTAAGCCTGCATACCTTTCCCTTTTCAATATCATTGTAAAAGCTAGCAGGAAGATCCATATACACATCTTCTTGCAGATCCCCATTTAGGAAAGCATTCTTCACATCMAGTTGAAACAAGGGCCAAGAGTATGAGGCAGCAAGAGAAAGAAGTATCCAAGAAGAGGTCATCTTTGCAACTGGTGCAAAGGTCTCTAAGTAATCAATACCATAGGTCTGTGTGTACCCTTTTGCAATAAGTCTTGCCTTGTACCTTTCTATAATTTCATCTGCCTTATATTTTACTGTGTAAACCCATCTGCATCCAACTTTCTCCTTGCCTTCTGGTAGATCCACAATGTCTAATGTGTTTGACAGTGTATGCCCTTACCTCCAATCAGAACGATGTACATTATGACATTTAATGTAAACGAATAAAGTACACATTTGATTCATGTTATTATGGTGTGTTTCTGTGTAATACCCTTAAACTGGACATATATAAGACTCATGTGGCTGATGTGTAGATCAATGTTTGGGTCCTACGCCATACAAGGATAACCAACTGGGCAACAATTTGGAGGCTAAGTGAGCAGATAGATTTAATGGGCCTAAAGCCCAAATCGAACTGGCTTAATGAGATTAATTAAAAAGGGGCAGTTCTGGGATTTAGATCAGTAGATAGGATAAGGGATTGTCCCTATCCACTCAGAGAGTCCAGATCCAAATAGAGATTTGGATCAAGAAACTCCTAATTAGATTAGGAAGGCTGATCTTTATCTGCAGATAAGATAAGGGATTATCCTTATCTCTTAAAGAGAGTCCAGAACCAAATACAAGATTTGGATTAGAAACTCCTAATGGGATTAGGAGAACATCTCTTTAAGGCTATAAATAGGAGAGCAGGGCGAACCCTCAGTACACAACAGAAATCTAACAGACTGCTGAATTCTAGAGAGAGAAAACACAGTTTGACTACACTGTCTCCTTCTTTCCTGCTCTTGCCGCCATACCAGTTCGATCTCCACCTATGGGAGTGATCAAGAAGAATTCTTGATATTACCTTTTGGCAGAAAAGGTAGTCTGAAGTCGTGCTCACTATCCCTCCATCGGATTCTTGCTGAAGAATTCAGTTCTTGTTGAAGAACCATCCTACTGATTCAGCTTCATCCTGCACTGTGTCATCTTCGATGGAAGCAGTCTTTGGATCTTTCCTTGTGCGTGAACACCTTCATTGGAGGTTATTACTACTTCGTATCAGGTTTATCCCTCCACTCCCTTTTGGTTTCAGATCTGGTCTGGTTTAGGTTCAAGATTGATCCTTGAAAATGCAGTTTTCTAAAATAGGGAATGTGATTCCCACATGGGAGAGAGAGAAGTTTTTGAAATTTCGCTCAACCTTCCTGTAGGGTTCGGCCATCCATATGATGGATCCCTCATCCCTTCAGTGGTATTAGATCCAGGTTCAAATCTTGAACCAAAATTAACCAGATCTGGAACTGCGCAAATGGGCAGAAGGCGTTCTACCCGATTTGCACAGATTAGCATTTTATAGGAAATTTATTCTCAGATTTTGGGCGATTGATTTGAAATTAAATATTTATAAATCTGAATTATATTTAGATTTGTTCATATTTTTCTTGATTTTTGGGCTGTTCATATGGTGGAGATCGAAATCTTTAATGGCGCAAGAAATTTGCGCATCTGCTGTTCTTTTTCATTCTTTGTTTGTAAATATTTTTTTTTTATTTTTTAGACGGAATGTATAGGAATTCAATTCTGATGTAATATTAATAGAAATTAGGTTTTCTATTTTATTTCATTCAAAGTTGAAGCAGAAAGCGCAAGGAGGAGAATTTCACAGATTAGGGTTCGGCCATCTACGATTTGCAGTTATGGAAACTGCATGCTGCGATCTAACTTTTGCTTTGCAGGGTAGCAGTCTTGCAAACAGCCTCCTTACTGATTCTTGAATGTCATGTGTCAGTAATTTAATTTCAGATCATGTTCTTGAATTAAATCTTGAATTAAAAATCAAACCCTAGACCCATTCGAACCAGATTGGATCAAGCTAGTTGGACCGAATCTATGGTTCGATGGGGGTTGTTCTCAGCCCTATTTTTCCACTCATGGGTCCAGGAGTTGATGGCTAATTGCAAGATGCAATTCAGCTCACATCTGTAAAACCCATTTTAATATGTTAAAACTGCTTTAGCCCATTTCAGCATAAAAGCTATATGGGCCGAATTGCTCTTTGCAATTCAGCCCATATACCTAGATAATATTAATCAGTAAT